CGGTTCAAATAAATAATAAATATACTGTTTAATAAATAAATAAAAATAGAGCATTTAATCAAATATAAATATCCATTATAAATAATGTTTAAACAAACAAGTTAAATATTTCTGATTAATAAATGAAAAATCCATTCTAGTATCTAGTTTTATAAAAATATATTGTCATCCACAAACAGTTTCGCTGTATCACAGCTCTTCAGAGTGGCTACACATTCGGTTGCCTCTAGCTAGGATCGAAACCCGACTGATTGGCGTCATTCGGGAGGGGGATTTGTTACAGATATCGAAAGTGTATACAAAATAGAAAATCTGCGAAAATCTGTAGTTGTAATTCGAACCTTAGCGTCATTTTAGTAATGTCTGATCTTTATGATAATATCACGGCATTAAATCTTTTCCTTTGATTTTAAATAATCTTAGAATATTATGTTTTTTTCTTTCATAAAGGAACATTCAAACTCTATAAATATGCGATGTTTTCATCAGAATAACTTTCTAAGTAAATGGCGATGTAAATTAATATTTACGAATTATAGCAGGATTTTCCGTACTTACAAACAACATGGCCATAGATAAATGAAGGCATGGAGAGTAGGAAACAATGTGACAATGACTGAGTAAGTTTGATTTGTTTTTACGGCTTATCAACCCTTTGTTGATTATTTAAAACCGAAACATATTTTGTATTTTAAGAATAATTCTTATTTAACAATATTTAACAACTTTTGAGAATCACAATGATTCTTCTAGATAGAAGTCTTACTATTTTTTAATCAGTTTCACCCCATGCAAGGTAGTAAATCCATTAAAATATAAGAGGTTACTGGGTGCGGAAGAATTAGGAACAGAAACGTTAATAATGAGCGGGAAGAGGAAAGAGTAATCAGGGGAGCAGTAGATAGCGATTGATATTGCATTTAAATTTTTGTAGATTAATGTTGATTGGAAAGAATGGAGCCGGAAGGGAGTTCCACAAGCGCGAAAAGAAACTATTTGCATAGAGTTTACGGTTACATCTAGTCAGCGCAACTGTAAATTGATGAGATCCTGACGCCAGTCGAGTACTGCGTAAACAAACAATATAACTGAAGGGGGAGATGTACTCATACCCTTTTCAAGGGTATTAGCGCATAAGTGAATGTAAAGAACTCAACAGGGATTAGAAACTCAGCCCTCTGATTTGTCATTCCGACACGATACACCTTGCACCACCCACACATCTACGACTGGGTAAGTTCGAGAAAGTAAATTGGTGAATTGAATGCAAGCATTAGAAAGAGGGATAAAACAAAAGAAGGAGTGTGTCGTACGGAATAAAATATTTCTGTTCGATATTTGATTTGCCTGTTGACACAAGAAGGTTTAGACGTTAATGACATACATGTACACAACTTCAATGACGCATATTCTTGCCTCGCTCAGATAGGTTCGTGGATATTTTTGATTTTTTGCTGATGCTCTTCGTTTAAGTGGCAATTTCAACCACAACACAGAATATTAAACCTCGCAAATGAAACATACAGTTAAAAAAAAGAAAGAATATCAGTGTATCCCGCTGTTTAAGGAGCGGCAAGAAAAGGGAGAAAAAAAAACTTTGACTTGAGCAGAAAAAGAAAACTTTTTCGTCAGAAAATGTGAATCAATAAGTCGGTAGACTTACACGTCTCGTCTCTTGACTACCTGTAAGATTTCTTACCTTTTTATATTCAGTTTACTCATAGATAATTTGTTTTTGATTTATTAAATAGGACTATTAATATTGGAATGAACTGTATCCATATTGCGCAACCTACACCACTCATAGCTGTCTGTTAACCCAAATTCAGCTGGGACACTACGGTGTGTGGTAATATTTAGTAAGTGTTTGTTTCTTTAGCGGCATATCAACTTTTATTTAATGCCGAAATTTAATTTTCTTGGAAGCATTAGTAATTTCATTTACAAAAATGTTTTGCTGGTAATGTTTTCTTCAAATATGCATTGCTGGTAAGTTTTATTTTTTAAATTTGTTTGAAAAATAATATATTGCTGATAACTTTTTTACTATGAAAATATTGCTGATATATAAAAAAAAATGTATATTTATACTTTCATAGTATTTTGAAACCAGTTTGGGTTGTTAGCTATTTGCCCATAGTTGGGACCCTAATGGGTGCTACCACCTCAAGTCTAGGTAACAACAGCAAATACGGTGGTTCCACTCTCCTCAAAAACCTCCGATTAAAATCCTTGCTACCGGATGTAGTTTATCGTCATACCCAGAACGGATATAGTAAGCGAGTTCAATACCCAGTAAGTGGTCCAAGCTATTTTTTAAAAAATATATGAGCACTTAAGGCATCGTAGTTGTTAGCAAGTTTATCTCACGGATAAATTTACCAATGGCGAAGGGTAGCTTAGTTAGAATCCGGGGCATACAGTCCACTATGATTTAATGATTGCGAAAGGAGCCTGAGAACAGAAAAAACAGCTGACACCACTGCTTTTTTCTCACTTCTTTCTTGCTCATCAACCATTACCCATCAACCCTCTTTCTCTCATATCATCCACATTCTCTGAGCCAGTGCACAAAACCTCACTTGAGAGTTGTATACTGTAGAAGGTGCATTGAAAAAGGTATGGATTCATCTCAATTTTCTAAGCTATGGGTTAAATAACAATCTAGACTGATCTATCTAGTCTTGAGTGGCAATCGGTGTAAGAGAATGAAAACTCTGAATTCCAAACCAATGACATAGCAGCGAGAAACGACGCCACTATCTTTCCCCCAAAATGCATAGCAATTCACAGATAATACAGCAAAAAGTGGAGAAAAAATTGCCTACGCACTAAAATGGCATGTCAGTTTAAAAAAAAACAAGTATACTAAACCTTTAATTCAAGATGTTTATCTTAAAAATACTTGATTGATCGATGCTACATTTATTTTCAGAAAAAATACAATAGCATGAACAAAACGTGTTTATGCGAAATTAAAAGTTTATACTTACTGAATTTGTCGGCTCGCTCACCGGCTTCGGATTAAAAATTTGGCGGTTCGGTACCTAGCGCCTTTCCTTATATTCTACAACAGAAAATGATATCTGCTTCAAAGTTTGTTGAAAAAATCGTTCTCAATCATTTTTTTTTTTATCATTACACCTCAAGCAAGGCGATAAAGCCACTAAGACGAAAATGGTTACTGAATATGATGGAAACTGAGAAAATTTTCCTGAGAAGAAAAGACAAAAAAAAAAAAAAGAACAGAATTTAAGGAGACAGATTATGACGATTGAGTTTGCATTTAAATTTTAGAAGATATAATGGAAGATAATGGCGCGAAAGGGCTTATAAGTCTAATTGGATTAACACCTAGCCCGATAAGGAAAACATGTGCAACAGATATCACCTGACCGACATCCAGCGACCGTTAACAAAATTGTAAAGAACAGCGGTCAGATTCCTTGGAACTGATCTCACGCCCGGTAACGGAAGATATGAGTGACAGGTGTCACCGGCTATTTTTCGTACTAAACAAAAAGTAGTTTTAGGGGCATGAATACCAGAACCCTAAATAAATATGGCCAGCTAAAGTACAAAAATGTGATTCTGCAGAAGGATGTTGAGAATACTATGAACGGAACATGTAAGCAATGATGAAGTTTTAGAGAAAAAGAAACCAAAATGACACTTATACAAAGAATCAGAAAGCGACAGTTCAAATTTCTATGGAACATAAAGAGGAAAGAAGGCTTAGAAAATTTGACATTCACAAGATATATTCAAGGCAAAATGGACAGAGCAACGTATAACCTACGTAACGAGTTTGTGTAAATGCTTGACAGTTCAAGCAATATGAGATATAGCAAAAAGACAAACTTTACTAAAGACAGGAAATTGTGGAGAGTCATGATCATCTCGGCCCTGAAGAAACATGGCACATAGACAAAGAAGAAGATGCTAAAATGAAATTTCGGGATACGCCAACATGAACCTGTCTATGAAGCTGAAGATTCACCTACTCACCTGATACACATATAATCAATCTTGACTTATGGATGCAAAGCCTGGACCTTAACCACTGAACTTGAGATAATGTCGAAACAGAAGAAATGTGATGCCTAAGAAGAATTCTGCAGATATCGTATGCGGGTAGGGTAAGCAATGAGAAAGGTTTATGACGAGATGAAATGTGTATGTGGCTAATGTCGATCATCACCAAAAAAAGTTCGTATTGAAGGGAATTGAGCGAGAGGACGACAACGTGCATCATATTTGGACCGAATTAAGGACAGGAGTCTATCATCGCCATCTTCAGCTGTTCTTGAAGTAGTCTGAGGTGGAGAGACATGATTACCCAATCAAGCATATTCTTTATTGGATTTTGTCCAGAATGTTTAGATATACGGAAGCACTAGACCAGATGCGGTAACAATATTCAATCCAGGGACGAATACTATACTTATAAAGATGCAAGTCAGATTCTGGTGATTAAAATTGTCTAGCAGTCAGTTTTGTGATATGCTTAGGCGATCATGTATCTTTCGGTACGTGACTGACGAGGCAGATTTTTCCCTTTGTTGGTTGCCATCTCTTTCTGCGGTAGACCAGTTGCCATCCAAGGCTATAGAACCCAGTCTGTCCCGCTATTTATCCATAGCTGAAGGGAGAAGAAGAGGATTCATACCTTTCCTAAGGGTATTAGCACGTAAGTGAATGTAACGGATTCGATTGGAATTCGAACTCGGCTCTCCGACTCCTCAATCCGAACCGCTGATTGAACCAATTTTCTTAACAGCAGACTTAGCAGCTGACTCGATGTAATTGTCTCAATTCATATCACATTAGACCGAAAAAGTGCAATGAGTTACTCTTCATGGCTGATGTTTACTGGATGTGAGCATCAGCCATGTGTATGGGAGGAGAAAAAAAAGGTTCTCCAGAGCAGTTTGGTTTTGAGCCGTTAAAATTATCAAGTCATTGTTTAGTCTTTCTTTTTCATCCATTACGTGAAAGTGATGTTGTGTCGCACGATTGATTTGCGCGGTGGTAGTTCCGTTATGCGGTGTCTGTGGTCCCGCGGGCGAACCACGATTCACAAAATCGAACAGACCAAGTAAGCTCGGCTGCTCACTTTCGCGCGGTCGGTCTGTCGAGCACACCACGACTTGTGGTCCTACAGACGTCACGCCCAAATACAATTCACAAATTTGGACAAACTAAGTGAATTCGGCTACTCCTCGCTCTGGTGTGGTCGGTCGGCTCAGCCGACGTCGCGGCATGGCCGACGACGCGGCGTGGTCGGCTTGTCGGCCGAGCGCAGACCTCTGCCTGTTGTCCCATGGCCGGGCGGACCACAAATTAGAGAGACCAAGTGAGTTCAACTATCAATTGAAACGTATTTATTGTTAGAATCAGAATGAAAGTTGGGAAACTTGAGGCATCCAGATTAATTTTCGAGTGTAAATTTTTTACTCCTCCAGATCCAATTAAGTTTTTTTTTCTTTTTGGTGGTCATAATTGTAACTGTTAGACTCAATACGGATTGTAGAAACAACAACTTTTATTGGCAAGATGCACACAAACACGCACACGCGCAAGCATATGCACACCAACGCATACACTCTCACTATCATACTCAAATACACATACACAGTCGCTCATACACACCCGCACATATGCATTCATATATATTCACATTCATACTCTCATACAACTTCGTGTCACTCAAGTTCAAGTATTTAACACTTATATACATGCCCACACAGACACACACATACAACCATTCGTTTGCATACACTCGGACACAAACTATTACACACGCACACACAAATAGAATCACATTCACCCTCACATTCTAATAAACGCCCACTCACAGTCCCCAAATTTAACAACACTTCACAAAATCGTACATTCACATATATACATTCACAGATATAAAGTTCTGCACACTGTCGCACACACAAATGCAGTTTCACACATTTACACTCACACTCTCATATAAATTTATGAATTTAACACACCTACACACAGTTGCACGCGTACGCACGCACACACACACACTCACAGACATAAGAAGACGGAGAAAGCTTCCTACATTTTCTTAATGTTTTTTCATGTTATTGTTTTATTACTTTCGTCTCTGATATTTGACTTCCATTGTTAACATATTCATAGATATGCGAACAATCCTGTAACTAAAACTGAAGCAACCTGTTCTGGAGATTATCATTATTGATTCTGTATTGCATGTATAAAACATTTATCTTAGTGAAAAAGTACGGATCCCTGTCTCGATCTGGGAGTGGTACGTAATATATCCAGCTATGTTTATTGACGTTTAGAAGATTCTTTATTTCAGGTTGACTTAGATATTGTGTTTAAAAGACGAAAGAAGAGGAAGAAGAAGAAGAAGTGTGGGGGAGAAGAAGAAGAAGAAGAAGAAGAAGAAGAAGAAGAAGACGACGACGACGACGACGACGACGACCATGGTCTGGAATAAATATGAATTCATTTACGAAGTTGCTGCTACTAATAATTGACTTTTGATTCAACAAAGCATAATTACTGCTCAATATTGCTGGCTGGAATAGGACCGCTTTTGTTGGAAGTCCGCCATACATAGTTTCCGAAGAAGAATGAAATGATGAACCATGTTTGCTCATTGAATTTGGAATGAAGCGTGATGTGGGTGAAAATTTTAGAATAAAACAAAGCGACTAACATCTCTTTTAAACAATAATCGCCATAAACTCAACTGCAATCAAAGCATGTATTGTCATAGAATATGTCCAATCAATAAACCAAATTGATCAATGTCCAATTTTACTTCTTGCACGTATCAAATCAAAATTCACGTGACTGCCCCTAAAGCTGTAAGTTGTCTCTATGGGAAATGGCTGGCATAAGTTATGATTGTTAAACCACTCCTTTTTGTTGGACTGTAAAAACAAGTTTCAGGTATTGAGCTTATAGGGAACTGGTTAAGTAAACTGAAACGATAAATAACGAAATTATTATATCTTTCCTTTCAGAACGTTGGTGATCATGGCTCTCCACAACATTCTATTCCTCGTTGCTCTAAGTATCGTTTGATTCTTTACCCTATTTCCATGTTCCTGCTTTGTCATTCATTCGCACAAACTCGCTTAGATAACTCGACGCTTTCCTGTTTTTCACCTTAATACGCCCAGTGTGTTTTAAATTTTCCGAGTTCCTTTCCTCATAATGTACCTAAAATTTGAACTATCGCTTTCCGATTTTAATTATGAATGTCTTTCCATTTCCCATTTTTTATAACTTCTTCGTTGCTCACGCCTTCTGACGATGGTGTTCTCAATGTAGATCTGTAGAACCGCATATCTATTGCCTCGTGTATGTTTATCTGTAGGGAAACTATCATTTTCTGCCATAGAGGAACATAGATATGGCATAGCATTTCAGCATTTCTTTCGTTGTTTCTTACGAAATAATTCTGTTTCAGACCTCGAACTACTGTCGAAGAGGTACCGTGCTTAGAGAGAATATTGGGCTTCAAACTCACAGCCGACCTCAAGTGGATCTCTTACATACGATTCATCGATAAAGATCATGGTAAAATGATCGTCTCTCTGTATTGCTCTTCGTGCTATCCCCTACCTTTACAAGAGCTAAATCAGGTCGAAAATGAAGTACTGTTGTCATATTTGGGTGGGAGCTGCCCAGTCCTCACTTTCCACTTCAAAAGCGTCTCCGAGTCCTTATTGGAGAAAATTATTTCACACCTTTCAACATCTCTCTCAAAGGTAGAATGTGATGACACTCTCACTGCTCTACCATGGAAAGTTTACGGACAAACTACATACCTTGGTTCCGTCATGTCTAACCCTTCACGGCTAGGACCTGCAACGCCACTAAAAATGGTAGAAATTCACTCACATTCCCTCCGTATTCCATTGGCGGGAAGTAAGTTTCAACAGCTTCTTTCCGCGAACCATTGCTGTTTGGAAGTGACTCCCAAGACGATCACTACAATCTTAACCTGTTCAAGTCTAGAGTTAACCGTTATCTTCTACTTTCCATATAATCTATCCTTAACGTAACAATCTATCTCGAGTGGCTCCCTCGCCCTGTACAAAGTGAAAGTTACTGTTTTAAAAAATTCAAATTCTCCAGTCAAATTTCAAGCTTCTTTGCCAACTTTCTGTTACTACACTACCCAGATAATTAAATTTCGGTACCTGTTTGACTCTAATGTCCCCAGTTCGAAACTCTCACCTTTAACTACCGCTCTTGCTAACGATCACATATTCTGTTTTCTTACTGCTCAGAGTTTGTCCTTTCTTCTTGCTTTCTTTACTACCTCTTCTAGTTTTGTGTAATTTTCCTTCGCTGTCATCAAAGGTTCATCTGCGTATGTTAAGTTGCTAAGATTATAATTGCTGATAGTCAATCCTGCTAAGTTTTCACATTCTCTTAGGATCATCTTGTTGTTAGATTCAATAAATCCAGTGATAAAACATATCCTTTTCTTTGTCGAGCTTATCTACCAGTTCAAATAATCTTCATGTTATAACTTCTTAAGTACATTTGCGTACCGTACGAAACTTATGTATATATTCTTAAACATTATCAATTTTTGACATGTATTTCTTTCATGCTAATTTTGTTTGTGTTTCTACGTAATTACTTTTAACCTGAAAAAGAGTGCCACATTCTTAAATAAACTCATCAAATCTACTATTACCACAACAGTGCCACCAGCATATTATAATAATAATAATAATAATAATAATAATAATAATAATAATAATAATAAATCGTATATTTTACTAAAAAAAACATTCAGTTTATTTGGCGCCGACTATAGAAACTGAAACCTGTGACTGGATGCGAAGATTGAAAATAACCGTATGACCTGGAAATAATTTGCCTATTCAATCCATTGTTCTAAATAAGATAAGCCTGCTTCTCAAATAATTCACTGATTGTTTTTTTTTTTTGTTTTTTTTTACGGTTTATCAACTCTGTGAGTTATTTAAAGCAGAAAAATATTTACTTGAAATTATATTATTCCCTAATCTTTTTTAAACAGCTTTTTTAAACAGCTAAATTTCCTCAACCTGTAATCGTAATAATGTGTTAATTCAATATTTTAAGTCGATTCATCCTAACTATAAATCAAATGAAAAAGCTTTTGGCCATATCATCCTTAGATACGTATCATTTACTACCGGTAATAATTACATAAGATATATTTATTAGATAAAAATATTAACTAATATAACCTAATCGACATTGGACTTTAAAAATCACCCTAATGGGAAAAAAAAAGACTTGTTCCCTTTTCAGAGTTTGTATCTTTAGCACTAATAGACAAAATGGCAATAATAAATTATTTTAAATAATATTAGATTATTTTATTGTTTCAACAAGCACCACACTCTCCCGTTAATTAATATGTCATTTACAAACATATTAGACATTAACACAATATGAATATTAATAAAAATTGCCAGTAAATAATATTAAAAAAAACAATAAGGAACTACCCACGTGATTGGGTCTTTCATTCTCCAAAATCTTAATAAATATGAGGTTTAAATGAAAGGAGTAGTATCTTTCTCTCTTGAAATTAAAAAAAAATATGACATGTATACATATTACATATACTTATTACATATACTTATACATATTACATATACTTATTACATATTACATATACTTATTACTTGTATATATTCATAGACAAGATCAACAAACATTAATTTTTCACGACTGACACTGTTTGCCGTTATTGGAATTTAATAAAGTGGGTTGTCCGAAAAAAATGCAGCTGGGGTCTCTTAATCTTCAAACTTATAATAAGTGCATCCCTCGTTTATTTAAGAGATAAGATTAGAGTCAGAAATACAATTGCAAATGTCGATAGAAGCATATATTTTGAGGTAGTTACTCACAAACAAGAACCTGTTTGTATTTTTACGTTTGCAAAATAGTCACAAATAAAAAGTCATTTGATGGTGAATTTATTTCAATTCAATCTGAAATAGAAGTTAAAACTGAATGTATGTCAAAGAAATTATGAAAGTCAGCAGGAATGGTCTGTAGACGTCAAGAGGGATAATTTGTTTGCTGTATGCCAAAGTTTTAAGTAGAAAATATGATTTTACAATTTATTCTATTGCGACTGTGCTAAAGAATATTTGTAACATTTGCATATATCTTAATTCTAATTTTACAATCACAGCAAAAACAACAAAACACAAGTAAAAGAAGAAACAAAGAATACATAAGTTTTATTTTAATTTGTCCATTTAGATTTGAGTTCTCTGGTAAATTTTAAAATGTATTTTTAGGATGAGTTCATTTATGAACAATCATTGGACACACGGTGAGGATAGTAATCTTTAGTTAGAATTCACAACATTAAAATGCTATCAATAAATTTCAGAGGGTATCTTCTTTGTGTGCTGTGTCCCCTCATGACATAGGTGGTTATGGCTCTTCACAACTTCCTGTTTCTTGTAGGTCTTAATAAACTTTGTCTTTCTGTTATTTCTCCTAAACCCTATTCCGCTATCGATTTACTGAAGCTCACTAAGTATGTCATGCGTTGTTTTTCACTGTTCTTCTTGCCCTCTGTCTGACTCGTGAGTATCAGATTTTCCAAGCCTTTCTTCCTCATTATGAGACCCAGAAACTGAATCTTCCTGATGTTAAGTATTAGTTTCCTTTTTGTTTCCAATTTCTCCAGAAATTTCCTCAGTATCATTTTGTAGAACTGCATTTATGTTGTTTAGCAGATTTAAATAAAAACGACTTCACACACATACACACAAACATACACAGAGTGTGTGTGAAAGAGGGAGAGAGAGAGGGGGATTTTCCTTTAAATGCTGTGAACAAGAATGATGCAGATCAATATTGAAAGTGGTTTTGCTGAATCTACTCAATTGACAGGCTGTTTAAAATCTGACATAACGATTGGTGTCAAGTTGTTAGAAATTAGTAATAGATTAATGTTTAAAGGCGAGATTAAATATCAGTATTTATTTAGATACTGATTTATATATATATTGCCTTGATAGTAAGTATGGCAGTCGATGCCAAAAAAGATCTCAAGTCTGTCGTTAACTGGGGCAAAAGATGGCTTGTTGATTTTAACGCCTCCAAAATTAAACTTCACTCTGTTAATCATTTGAGAGACCTCTCTCTGTCCCCATCAGCATGGCCGATGTTATTCTCCAAGAAAGTGATTTGTTGCGCCTTCCCATGCTAAAAATTTCAGCTGACATAAAGCAGAAAGACTATACAGAATCCATTGCCAGGTCAGCTGCTGAGAAAGTTGGTTCACTGTGTCGTGCTAAATTTTTCTTTCCAGATTCTATCTTACATATTTATAAATCTACCATTCCTCTATGCTTAGAATATTGCTGTCATATATGGTGCAATGACCTTGCTATTTATCTTGAGCTCCTTGATAAAATCCAAAGAAGAATCAGCAATATTATTGATCCTGATCTGGAGGCTCAGTTTCATTAACCGCCATGAGGCTTCCTTTCTGTGTCTTTTCTATAAATACTTTCACGGTAATTGTTGGAATTAGCTCTTCGCTATGGTACATCGAATTTTTGAATTTAAGCGCAGCACTAGACTGGAGTCGAGATCCCATCAATTTATAGCCGAGTTAGCTTGATGCAGCCATAAATTCTATGCTAGCACTTTTTTGTTTCGCACTAATCGCTTATGGAAATCCCGTCCGGCTCTATGCTTTCTAGCCAACATTAATCTACAAAAATTTAAATGCAATGTCAATCACTATCTTCTGCCCCCTTGATGACTCTTTTCTCTTCCGGCTCATAAATTAATTTTCCTGTTTCTAATTCTTCCACACCCTGTAACCCCTTGTGACTTAGAGGCTTTATTTTTTTTATTAAGGAGCTCAAGGTAAATAGCAGGGGCACTCAACCAAATCTAAAAACTGTATATCTTTTGTTGTTGCGTAAATTTTGCTGCTGATTGTAAATTTATTATTGTTTCAATTTATATTCGCTGTCATGGTTATATAAATAAAAATTCCCTACCAAACCCAAGCCTTAGGGGGGGGGCATAACCCCAGGTTTAGCCTCTCCTTCCTGAGGGGGCTAAGTTTATTGCCTAGCACCTGAGGCGTTCCAAAAGTGGGAAGTGCTGAGGGAGGATTTTTCTACAGTACTGCCGAGAACCCCACATTAAACTGACCTTGTGTCACATCATGCGTGGTGAGCGCACTGGTTAATACCTAGTCATATTTTATCAATTACATTACAATCTTTTTTTAATCGGAATCACCCCAAGCAAAACAGAAATGCCAATAAAACACAAGTGGTTACAGGGTGTGGAAGAATTAGGAACAAAAACCATAATGATATGTAGAAAGAGAAAAGAGTATTCAGGGGGAGAGTAGAAACCGATTGACTGACATTGGATTTAAATTTTTGAAGATTAAAGTTGGCTGGAAAGCATGGATCCGGAAGAGAGTTCCACAAGCGAGAGGTGCGAGAAAAGAAACTGTCAGCATAGAAGTTACGGCTACATCTAGCCAGCTCGACTGTAAATTAATGAGATCGCAACACCAGTCTAGTGTTGTGCTTAAATTAAAAATATCTAGGTACCATAGGGAAAATCTCATTCGAACAATTACCCTGAAAGTATGTATAAAAAGGACATAGATAGGCAACTTTACAGCGTCGGGTAAGTGACTAGAGCTGAGCTGCTAGATCAGGAGCAATTGTTGATTCTTCTTTAGAAGAGGAACTGGACCATATGCAACGGCAATATTCTATGCATGGACAATCATGTTCTTTATAATTTTCAATTCATTTATATAATAAAATCATTACAAATGCATTCACACTGTTTCCATTGTAACCAGTTCTGACAATAATACTTGCATTAATCACTGACAATTTCTTTTTTCCTGATTTTCAGTAAACAAATAGAATGTCAGTTCTCTGTCGATACTACAATGGAAATTGCTCGAACTAACTACATTCCTTGGTTCCGTCAGGCCTATCTTTCATGCCTAAAACCCGCCATGCCACTTACATAGTAGTAAACCAATCATATTCTCTCGTATTCAGTATCCTTCTGTCATTCGAACTTAACGAATTCAACTGGAATTGGAACTTGGCTCTCCGATTAACAATTCCGAGTTATTATCCATTGCGCCATACACATATCCAAACATATATCACCTGGTATTTCTAGGTACTGACGAGGTCCTACGTTGCTTAACATGTGATTGTACGGGATACAGTGTTTCAACGTGATATGGCCATAAACCCTGTAAATAATAACTCCACATTCTGAAATTCAGACAGAAATTAATAATTAGGAAGTGTTTTATAAACACTATACTATTCATGCGTCAGTTGCAGCAAAATTATTTGGAACAACCGTAATGGCTGCCGTTGTTGATTTGTAAAAAGATGTTCGTAGCTTATTCTACCCGAACGTTTAACCGTATCTTTTACATTTGATATTTGCAGACATTTCTTTCTTTCTTTTTTCTTTTTTTCTTTTTTTCTTTCTTTCTTTCTCTTTCTTTCTTTAACTAGTTTCTTCCTTTTGTTTTGATGTATATTTAGTCTTTTCATTATTATTTATCTTCCATTTCTTTCTTTTTTTCTCTCTCTCTTTCTTTCTTTATTTATTTCATCCGTTTCTTTCTTTCTTTCTTTCTTTCTTTCTTTCTTTCTTTCTTTCTTTCTTTCATTTCTTTCTTTCATCCGTTTCTTTCTTTCTTTCTTTCTTTCTTTCTTTCTTTCAGCTGTTTCTTTCTTTCAGTCGTTTCTTTCTTTCTTTCTTTCTTTCTTTCTTTTCTTTCTTTCTTTCATCCTTTCTTTTCTTTCTTTCTTTTCATTTCTTTCTTTCATCCGTTTCTTTCTTTTTTCTTTCTCTCTTTCATCCGTTTCTTTCTTTCTTTCTTTCTTTCAGCTGTTTCTTTCTTTCTTTCTTTCTTTCTTTCTTTCTTTCTTTCATCCGTTTCTTTCTTTCTTTCTTTCTTTCATTTCTTTCTTTCATCCGTTTCTTTCTTTTTTCTTTCTTTCTTTCATCCGTTTCTTTCTTTCTTTCTTTCTTTCTTTCAGCTGTTTCTTTCTTTCAGTCGTTTCTTTCTTTCTTTCTTTCTTTCTTTTTTCTTTTTCTTTCTTTCTTTCTTTCTTTCTTTCGTTTCTTTTTTCTTTTTCTTTCTTTCTTTCTTTCTTTCTTTCTTTCTTTCATTTCTTTCGTTTCTTTCTTTTTCTTTCTTTCTTTCATCCGTTTCTTTCTTTCTTTCTTTCTTTCAGCTGTTTCTTTCTTTCAGTCGTTTCTTTCTTTCTTTCTTTCTTTCATTTCTTTCTTTCATCCGTTTCTTTCTTTTTTCTTTCTTTCTTTCATCCGTTTCTTTCTTTCTTTCTTTCTTTCTTTCTTTCTTTCTTTCTTTCTTTCATCCGTTTCTTTCTTTCTTTCTTTCAGCTGTTCCTTTCTTTCAGTCGTTTCTTTCTTTCTTTCATCCGTTTCTTTCTATTTCAGTTCTTTTTCTTTTTTTCGATGTTTTCTTTTATTCTTTAATCCTGATTTTATTTGTTTTCAGTATCATTTTCCACCATTAAAAATGCCTCCTTTTTTTTCTCTTTCCTCTTTTTCCCATAGGTCTTACCTTTTCATCTACCCCGACTTTAAAAAGGCGTATGTATTTATTTAATCCTATTTGTTTTCTTTTTCATTTCCCTATTCGTTCAGTGTTTTCTTTATATTTCCCTGTTTTCCATCTTTTCGAGTCGTTCTTTTGTTCTTTCTGTACCTTTTCCTCGTCCTTTCTCTATTTCTCTTTCTATTCACCCCCACATTGTCATTCTTTGCTTGTCATCCTGTCACTCCATCTAGCGGCTCTATTATCTCCCCTTTCCCGTTCCCTTTCGCGACTCTTGCCGCTGTCAACTTAATGAAATTTGGCAGTCTTTGCCGACATGACTTGCGGCTCATGTCAATTACGGACCATCCGTCGGGGCTGGGACTCTGGCTCTGGGGAGCATGTGGCCGAGGATTACCTGAAAGTCCGAGCTCGGAGACTTGTGAAATGTGATCTGCCTCCGCCCGGGAAGGTGTAAAAACTACCCTTCATTGAGTGATTCTTTTGTTTTAGGCTTCTTTCGCTCGTAAACTTTTTTCTTTTTTTTTTAAATTCATATGCCTTCTTTATTGTTCTATAAACATAAATACATACACACGCAAACACACACACAACATATATGTGTGTGTGTGTGTGTCTGTGTGTATGTTTGTATGTGTGTTTGTGTGTATGTAGGTAAGTATGTGCGTACATAAATACAGATACACTAGTACATGCAGGTGTCTGTCTTTTTTCTCTTCCGCGTATCTCATTTCCTTTTGTGTATGTCTTTCACCTAGATATCATTTATTTTGTCCAGTGCCATACAAAACTTAGCTTACGAATTTATATATATATATATATATATATATATATATATATATATAGGTAAGCTTAAAAAATCTATGTTCATACATACATACATATTGAGCACTGTTTTGTAAAAATAAAATATTAATAAGAACACCGGATTATATATCTTACTGTTCTTTCTCTTTATTATAATATATATATATATATATATATATATATATATATATATATATATATATATATATATATATTATGAAATATACAAGTTCGACAATTATTTTAAGACATTTTTATGTTTATACATTCTTTTATAGATACAAATATTTAAGTAATTGCTCTGTTTTATAATAAACAGTATTAATAACATTTACCGGCCTGAATGTCCGAGAAATTTTCATAGAAAATATTCGTCCTCCGAGAGGAATCGAACCGTCATATAGCCTTAATGGAAATGGACAAAGTCCGACAATTATTTTATAAAAAGAATGTATAAACATAAAAATGTCTTAAAATAATTTACATTTGGATACGATTTGAGCAGATATGAATGTACGTGAGAGATTCATGGAAGATTGTAGTTTAAAAGCAGTAAAATCGACCTTGCTAATCGAACGATCCTCCGTGGCTCGATTGGTTAGGGCACGTCTGCCTATATGACGGTTCCGTATAGGATACAGGTTCGATTCCTGTTGGTGGACGAATATTTTCTATGAAAATTTTCTCGGACATTATTAATACTGTTTATTATAAAACGGAGCATTTACTTAAATATTTGCATCTATAAAAAAGAATGTATAAACATAAAAAATAATAATAATATATATATATATATATATATATATATATATATATATTGAACAATAAAAAAATATTAAAAAAATATATATATATATATATATATATAATGATAAATATACGGTTTTAAGGTAGGATATATTTATAGGTAAATATGTCCGTTATCACGGATAGAGCATATGTTAATATCAAATACACCAAAAATGAACACCAGTCGGCGACAGTCTACTTCATACTTGAACGCAGTCTTCAGGCCATGAATACAATTTTCATGGCCTGAAGACTGCGTTCAAACCTAAAAACAGATTGTCACCGCTCGGTGTTGACTTCAGTGTATACTTTGATATTACACACATATATATATTAAAGCTAAGTATAAATTGTTCAATGTCTGACTATTTTTGGCTGTCGCTTGATCTGAATTTTGCGTTTTTCAGCTCTGTATATATTCAAATATATATGTATATATTTTTGTTATATATATATTTATATATATATGATAAAATATTGTTTTATGGTATACCATATGTATGGGTAAAAGTGCCCATATCAGGGATAGAGCGTTTATAAATTTAAAAGTGAACATTGAAGTGAACACCGAGTTCATGCTAAAAGCTTCTGGGACTCTAGCTGGGACTCTAGCTTTGGTAGTCAACCAGTCTAAGAGAAGGAAAAATCTGAATTCGAAACCAGCTAGTAAATTCTATATTCCATAGAGGAGTGTACAGGTTTTGTATTTATATATGGTCGAAAGAATGACAATTTGACCAGCTTGCTGGCTGGATATCAAATTTGAAATGTCGGCCTGGAGAGAAATTTGTACAAATTACGCGAGCTAAAATTTATTTTTTGGAACGATAGAGTATATATATATATATATATATATATATATATATATATATATATATATATATATATATATATAGAGAGAGAGAGAGAGAGAGAGAGTAGAATAGAATAATATTTTTGCATCATTTATTATTTCGGATCTGAAACAAAGTCATGTTTATATAAAGCTTTATGCGTCTAAATAATGGGTAACACAACCTAAAGACAACTGGATTAGTGAGAAAATGCAAGCAATGTCTTAGAGAAGAGAAGAGGCATGTGATCGTCGATAATGTTAGTTGCCAACACTGATAGAATTTCACAAGTCCATCTAGTAATATAAACAATAATGATGGTGAAAGAATACTATTAAATGTTGTTGTTCTTCTATGTGTTGTGTCCCTTCATAACGTTGGCGATCATGGCTCTCCACAATTTCCTGTCCTTTGTAGCTTTTAATAAATTTTGTCTTTTTGTTATCTTTTCTAAACCTTGTTGTGCCATCCATTTACTCAAGCTCGCTAAGTAGGTTATGCTTAGTTCTCCTCTGTTCCTCTTGCTTGCAATCTGTCCTGTGAGTATCAAATTTTCTAAGCTCTCTTCCCTCTTTATGTACCCTAAAAAATTTCAACTCTCTCTTCTTGATGATAAATATGTCTCCTTTTTGTTTCCGTTTTCTCTTTTCGAATTTTGCTCATATGTTCCGTCTATGGAATTTTCCATATGCTTCTGTAGAACCACATTTCTGTTGTTTCAGGACTCTTCTTCAATTGTGCAGAGACTGTCCAGCATTCAATGTCATATAGAAGGACTGATATTACATAACAGTTCAGTACTGTTTTCTTTGCTAATAACGACATTTTTCTGTTTCTTGATACTTTGCTTACCTTTTAGAAGACATCTTTCGCTATTCCACTGTGCCTTCGGATTTCGATGTCTCACCTTCGATCCTCTGTTAAAACACTTTCCAGATATCTTAATAGTTGTACTTAAATGATTTTTGTATTTTCAATTTGTAATTTGCATGTTGGGCTGTTTCTTGCAGTTGATATTACAATTATTTATTCTGCATTTTTCATAAAAATAATTATTATAATTTTATATTCATATCAGTAAACGAAAACAGATTTGTTCATCTATGCCGACGTCCGTTCTACACAAAGCATTTGTATAGTATGTGTCACGACCCAACTTTGCACTCAGCCTGACGTCAGAGAAGTCAGTTACATCGACGAGTTTTGACAGATGACATTCTAGTCACTAAGTGCAGATATGCACCTCACAGGATATAGGTGTCTCTCTCTAAATATGAACACATGATGGTCACGTGCGGGCAAGAGCCATGTTACGTATAGATATATAAACACCCACGAGAGAGAGAAGAGGGATTGAAATGTCTTACGTGAGACTGTAAGGTCCACGTTCCAACGAGGGCCTGGCGACACACACACATGTACACACACAATTACACACACACACGCACGCACGCGCACGCACGCACAATGACATTCACACCCACACATCCGTCCTGGGTATGGCGTTAAACTACATCCGCGTCCCGGGTAAGAAGATAAACTACACCCAACAGGAAGGGTTCTGATCAGGAGATTTTAAGGAGCATGGAAACACATCTTAATTGCTGGTGTTCCCAGGTTCACCCTGACTCGGGGTTGTAGCACCTGTTAGGGTCCCAGCTATGGGCAAATAGCCAAACTGGGGTCAAAATGTGTAAAAATAGGTTTTAATACCAGCAAAAGATTTTTGTAAAAAATTATTACCAACAATACATTATTACTAGCAATACCTTTTTCGAAAAACATATTACCAAAAATATTTTTGAAAAAATTATTACCAGCAATAAAAATCTTGTTGGCATTAAATAATTCATTAAGGCTGATATGCCGTAAAACAAACCAAACCAAACCACACACACACACATACACACGCACATACACACACACATACGCATATACTAGCCGACAGTATTTGACGATTTCCGGAGTTGAATAAAATGTAATGTTACGCATGAGGGATTGAATCTTGTATTTTCATTGGTCTGCGTAACGTTAATCCACAATATATGGTCTGGTGCTTCTACTATCTTTCTCCAGCTCCTTGATAAAATCCAAAGATCAATCAGCAGTGTTATTGGCCCATATCTGGCATCTCGGTTTCAGTTGCTTTCCCACCGTCGTTGGCTTGCTTCTCTTTGCCTTTTCTATAAATAATTTCATGGTGGTTGTTTGGGTGAGCTCTTCGCTATGGTGCCTAGACTCTTCGAATTTAAGCGCAGTACTAGACTGGCGACGTGGTCTCACTATTTACAGTTTAACTTGATAGATGTAACCGTAAATTATATGCTAACAGCTTCTTTTGTCGCACTTCTCGCTTGTGAAACTCCCTTCCGGCTCCATGTTTCATGTTAAAACTAAAAAAATTTAAATGTAATGTCAAACGCAATCTGCTGTCCTTTTGATTATTCTTCCTTTGTTCTCGCTCTTTAGCAGTGTTCCTGTTTTTAACTATCCCATGCTAAGTGATCCCTTGCGTCTCTGTCGCTTTACTGTGTTGCTTGGGTGAACACGATTAAACAAACAACAAGAAGAAAAAAAAAAAAAAAATGATGTAAAAGGTGAAATATGCGACTGTTCGATGTACTCTAAGTTACAGGAAAGTTTGAAAGAATTGCGAATTTCCAAAGAGTCTTGAAAGCAAAGTTAGAGAATTGAAAACCCAAATAATCATCAAAACAGACCGATCGATACATGACTAGAATTAGATACAGTTCTGAAGAGAATAGATTCAAGGTTTTGAAATCTCTTGCTCTATCTAAAAAAATAAAAATAAAAATGCAAGTTTCAAAGTCAAACCTATTCCCCTAGAAACAAAGAAAAGAGTTCTATGTTTTATAATTCCTGCAATATGCCAGTGAACTCTAAACAATTTTTTCACGGATGAAAATGAAATTCGACGCAACAGAAACGTGAATCTACAGAAGGATGCTTAGAATAACATGGGCGGAATATACGAATAAGAAAACAAATTAAAAGGCCATTGAACCTAAAAGGTTTGCTAACACTTAGAATACGAAAAAGAACCTTTGAAATTTCGAGGAGACATAATGAAGAAAGAAAGCTGGAATAATTTGATACTCAAAAAGCAACTGAAGGTCAGAAGAAGAGTAAATAGATGAGAGTAGAAGAACTGGATGGGTTTGTAGAATTAGAAATATTGCTAAGAGCTATGGACAGCCATGACTGCCTACGTCCTAAAGGTAAAAAAGGCATTTAAAGAAGAAGTTTCGCTGCATACTGACAACTGAAATTAAGGTTAAGGTTAAGGACATGGTTATGTCTTAATAGTAAATCTGTCATACATAAAATAGGGAGTTACTTTTCAATCACCCTGTAGTTTAGTAAGATTGTTATTACTAAGTAGTGAGTTCGGTTCTCAGTAGGCGCCCTACGTTTGCATTTTTATATCAGGCAATGTTAAGCAACGTAAATCGACAGCTTGTTCATTGAACGCATGTCGAACGAAGTATATTTACGCGAGTCCTTCTCTTTATTGACTGGAAAGTGAATTATCTTGGGAAAGAACAAACAGTTAATGAATAATTCCTTCCAATTCCCAACTGGGAAGGGAGAGAACCAGGGAGATAACTGCGGCATATGTTTTGACAGTCTTGTTGTTATCTATGCCTTCTTTTGTTTGTTCTAAACAAATTGCTTGCTGGTGATCTTTGGCATAGAATTTTAGCGATTTCTCAGGATTTAACTTTATATATTAACTTATTAGTTTTGTAATATTTCCACGTTGCTTTCAAACTAATCTATCTCTCAATCGAATGATACGGCTACTTATACACACGCCTTTTTATTTATCTTTTGATCAAATAGTTTATTTTTCATTAAACAGTAAGCGGAATTGATGCGGAAAAGCAGTGTTGGTTTATATTTCATCTGATTACTCCGAATCTTTTTCTTTCGTTAATGACAATTTACATTCTATCTATCTATCTATCTATCTATCTATCTATCTATCTATCTATCTATCTATGAGTCGAATGCAAATGAAATATTATTGACCAATTATAATTAAACAACGTAAAAGTAAAAATAGCAGAATTTCTTTCTTCTTTTTCTCCATATCTCATTCTCTGATGAAGTTTTAATAAAAGTGAAACATGCTACATTGATTTGTTTTCTTATCTTATCATCCTTCTGGATTCCGATCCATGTTTCATCTATACATCTATGTAATTTTTTTCAATCTCTCTATCTCTCTCCCTCTCTATCTATCTATCTATCTATCTATCCGATCCCGAGATTAAAAATGAGTCATTCACCTGAGGCTTGAATATCCAGAATTGAGATTTGTGTCCGGATAATGAGGGAACAATTAAAAATTCAAATTTTAAAATAACTGAAAAAATAGTTATTTTAAAAGTTTTTAATTTATATTGAGTTTAAAGTAAGACAAAAACCTTGTGAATTTAAAATTTTCTTTTTTTAAATTCAGTTTAAAATATCTCAAAATTTGTGATTTGAGTAAATCCCTTTTATTTCTTCAAAATGCCAATGAATTTGTCGTTAAAGTGAGAGGTTTCATGAAGTGAGATTTTCAACTTCCGTAGAGTTTGTGATTTGAAGAATCACGGCCCAAATCAGAATTTCAACCGAAATCCGACTTTAGGCCCAAACCGGTTTTGGGATTTATCGTCCGAATTAGAGTTAAAGTGAGGTTTTGAAGTTTCAGAGAGTGAATTGAGGAATTCAAAGATATTTCTTCAAAATTATTATTGTTGTTTTTCAAGTGGGACTAGAGGTCTCTTTAGTTTTGGGCTTCTCTGCAGGAGGGTAGCTTAGGTTAAAAGTCCGCACGGAGAGCCTGCTTTTAAGCTAGTAATAAAATAAAATAAACTTATCTTCTCTTTATGAAAATATTCGCACGAAGACGTTGATTTTTAACCCTACTGCAATTTTATTAAGCAAGATACAAAGGGTTACTGGATGTGGTAGAATTAGAAAATAGAAACACAACTAAGTAGCGAGTACAGAAGAAGAGTAATCAGGAGGACAGTAAATAGCGTTGAAGAATGAAATTGGCTGGAAAGCATGAGATCGGGAGTTCCACAAGCGAGAAGTGCGACAAACTCAATTGTATATCGTTGAGACATTGTCGCTAGTCTAGTACTGCGCTTAATTTCATAAAGTCTAGGTACCACAGCAAAGAGATCATCCGAAAAATGAACATGAAAATATTTATAGAAAAGGCACAAAGAAGTAATAATATTACTGATTCTTCTTCGAATATTAAAAACAATAATGATGAGGAGACTATCTCGAAAAGTCAACAGATTAATGCTTCATCTAATGATTTTAGAAAGCATGGATTCTTAGATGTTTAAGCAGATGAAAGGAAGCTTTTTAAGTGCTGTCGGTGTCAATTTTGCAGTTCTTGTCAATTCGTAGCAACAATCAGTTCTTTTATTTGCGTTGGGAAAACCGAGATACGAATGATTTTAATAGCAAGAGCCAGATCAGGCCAAAAGTGGAGTACTGTTGTCATATTTGAGCGGAAGCTGACCGTGCTTTACCCTGCAGCCTTGATAGAGTCCAAAAGTATCTCCTAGCTCTTGTGGGTGACGAATTATTTGCTCTCTCTCTCTCTCTCTCTCTCTCTCTCTCTCTCTCTCTCTCTCTCTCTCTCTCTCTCTCTCTCTCTCTCTCTCAGAGGCGGGATGTGGTAAACTGGTCTGTTGTTATTTCCACGGAAAGTTTTCGGACAAATTACATTCCCTGGTCCCGCCAATTCAAACATTCACGGCAAGGACACGCTATGCCACTTACATAGTAACAAACCATCGATATTCCCTCCGTATTCCATCGTTGAGAACTAAATTCTATTTGAACAGATTCTTTCCGCCAACCACTACTCTTTGGTAGCGACTTCCAAAAGGATGTTTCCTCGCTAATTACAGGCTAGGGTTGAACGTTATTTTCCTCTCATATCCACACAAATTGCCTTCTAATGTAACCCTCTACGTTGAATGACCCTCAGGATTTGTAGAGGGTGAACCTTACTTTAAAAAAAAAAAAAAGGGTTATACGCAGTCTCCTACGAAAAAGGAGATAATAACGATTATTAAACTCAAGTATAAATTGCTATTAGAAGGAAGATAACATGAGGGTTTAGTCCAAAAGCAAATACAGAGGCATAGATCGGAACATGGCTCGGATTCCATTGTCCGAGTTGCAGTAAAGTTCAAAGCAATGACGTATGAATCAGTGGAAGAAATTTTGCACTTGGTTGTAGCGAGTGAAAGTAAGTACACTGAGCTTCAGTCCGACAAAAATGTGGCCGTTCTCTCGAAAAAACAGTCCAAAATATGAGCCATGAATTGAAGGCGTCAAAATTAATTAATAAATTTAAATATCGGGGAAAGTGTTATAACAGAAAACGGAAAATATGATACGCAAATTCGAAGATGCATTGGAATAGCGAATAAAGCCTTCCAAAATATAAAAAAAAAAAAAACAGGTAAATTTCGTTATACAGAAGCGAAAGGGAGGTGAACTTTAATGTAAAATAAATCCTCCTATATGACAGCGAATGCTAGATAGATGAAAAAGAGATTTGAGATAATAAAAATGTAGATCTACAGAAGGATACTGAGAATACCAAGGACGGGGCATATGAGCAAGGAATAAATTACAAGAAAAATGGAAACAAATAGGAAACATTTAATTAGAATCAGAAAGGGACAACTGAAATTTTAAGGAAAGGACTTGGAGAATATGACACCCACAGGACATACTACAGGGAACATGAATGAAAGAAACAGTGAATAACCTACTTAATGAGCTTGTATAAATGGATGGCAGAATAGGAACTGGAAATGATAGTAAGGGAACACTGATGAATAAAAAGCTGTGGAGAGTGATGATTGTCCACTTCCTATAGGGACACGGCATATGAAAGAAAAAATTGTCTTTGGAATTGACTGAACCAAATTAGAGAAAGCGATTTAAACACCAAGTTTTTATTTTCTTAAGTCAATAAATCTGTTTATAGGATGAATCAGGCTGAAGTGCTTTCGTGTCTCATGAGCAGTTTAATATAAAGTGAATATAAACAGTTTTACGCAGATTTGAACTCTGTATACTGATTCCGCTGATAATCGGTTACTCCAACCCCGTTTATTCTTAGTCAAAGCCAAAACCAATGAAGAAATGAGTAAACCTTCTTCATGATCATGATGCTATAAATCTAAGCAACAAATTTCACGTAGGATTGGCTTTTCGATTTCATTTGATGGATAGTCTCATGAAAATGAAACACAACGATTACATTTTGTCAATATTCATTCGCCAAGTGGTTGATTAAAAAAAAAACTGATTGGACAAACATCTGGTTTCAAGGATGAAAACCACAGATCAGAAATTAAAAAAAAAGATGACCAAAATTAAAGCACTCAGAAAGGCTGTTTTTTTTCTTTCTTTCTTTTACTTTTTACAGGATCTCAGTTTGTCGGCCTGATAACAAGCCGTGCATCGCCTTCAGACGCGTATTGCAATATGGCGCTTCATGAAGACCAACCCATCCATTTTCTTGCCGGCCGCCAGTTTGCCCTTGGACGTCATAACCTTGGTCCTCTTGCCATTTTCCCAAATTTTGCCCCATCCTCTCCTAGCCAATATGTTGACTGCAACAGAAAACACATGGACGGAACCAGCGCAAGACAAAACAATAAATCACAACGAGCGTTTTCCAGATGGTAGAGGGCGCTGCAAATATGCAAATACAAGTATTGTTTAAATTGAGCCTGCTACTTGCCGTTTTCAGGTCAACACTTTCGAAACAGCCTCCTCCTCCCCACACGTTAAAACTGATTCAGCTCTCTTCTGATTGATACACTGATTGAGCGCCTATTGGTTGTGGACGTTAACTGAATGATGCAGTCGGACTAATTGCTAAATTCTTGACAGGAGATTTCCCCATGTATCAGCAATTCTTCTCACATAAGAAATACAAAGGTTATCGTACGTTAGTCAGACGCAAGTTTACAATTGAAGCTTACTACAGTAATAATGAGAAGCAACACGATATTGCTAACCAGTGTTCCACAGAAAGGTGTTTCACACCTTCACAATATCAACAGGCTATGACATATCAAAGCCGACGCATCTCCTGCGCCATCTTCAAACCTCTTTCTGAGTCAGAAATTCGAAAACTTTCTGAACTACTTTATAATACAGCATTTATATCAAGAAATGTTTATGAAATGTTCAGTTATTTTAAAATATTTTTTTATTTATAGTATTTATATTCAAAGTAATGACCTCATCTTTCTCGTTGTTATCACAACGTTTCGCTCTTCGACCTTATTCAACTGTCTGTTGACCCGGGTTGACCTCAGCGGAGTAAGGGCGGTGGGTACAACTTACGAAATGTATTGATAACAGCCCGAATATTAAATAATGTAAATATTAATTCGTCTCAGAAATTAAGAGAGAAATAATTTTTTTTTAATTTTTTCTTTATTGCTTTTCATTATATATTTTATAATTCTTTCAGCTTTATCATTTACAATAATTATTATTTCATTTTTTATAATTATTAGTTATTTATTGGAATGTTATTTTACTATTATTATTAATTATATTATTATCAATTATTATTATTTTATTACATTATTATAATCTAATCTTATATATATACTGTTATTTTATTTTATTATTATTATTATTATTATTATTATTATTATATTATATTATAATATTATTATTAATTATATGATTAATAATTATAATTATTTTATTATAATATTATCACATTTTCCTATATTTTTATTTTATTTAAACATTCACATCATTATTTTATTTTATTTTTTTATAAGAATATATATTCTTTTTTTTAATTTTTTTATTTGGTTATTTGTTTAATATCATTTCATTTTTTTTAATCATTATTAATTATATATAATTACTAAACACGTTCTATTAAACGCCAAAGACAACATAGTCCTGCTGATTTTCTTTTGTATTTTCTCATATTTCCGAATGAGACTTTTTATTTCAAAATTATATTGATGTATATATATATTTTCCAAAAGACAACCGAGTACTTTCGAACGTCATCGTTCATCATCAGGGTCAATTTTTTATTTTATTTTATACTTTTTTTAAACTTTAGCCAATTGCTTTGCAGCAGAATTGTATTGCTGCATTTATACGAACCAAATAAACGTTACGAATGCGTTAATGTTATCACGTGCAGGCGAAGCCATGTGATCAAGTGAAGGGGTGAAAAAGATTTTTATTGTAAAAACCAAAAAAATCGAAAAATACGTTATGGAATTTAAAAAAGTTCAAGGGAAATTATGTGATTTATCTAATTACGTAGAAATATATTATAGACATTGTAGGATGTTTCCAGAAATATAAGCTGTGCGATTAATAAGAGGTCTATTGCTTCTAATATGTAATGACTCTAAAATTTTAAGGCGTCTAATGTCTGTATGTTGATCAATAATTTTAGTATTGTCTATAAGGATTTTACGAATGTCAGAATCATTAGTATCAATTATTTGATGAATGGATGAATGGTATGGATGAAAAGGTCCTTAAATCTATAATACAACATAATGTGTTTCCTGTTGATTCTAACAATGCCTTAAAACGTAATATATATTATAGTAAATTTAAAACCTCTAACCTGGTAATGAGCAATAACCCTTCTTCAGTTGCTGTAGTGGTTGATAGGACTAATGTTGTGTATTAGTTTAATGTCTTTTGGAATAATGCTCTTCTAATCCACATACATACATTGGATTTACAACTACCCGGCTCTCCAGACGATCAACTATGTATTTAAATAATTCTAGTGCCATTAAACAACATCTTATGTCACATACTGTTTCCCTTATTCATTCTGACATTCGTAAAATCCTTATAGACAATACTAAAATTATCATTATTATTATAAAAGAAAAGTTATCAACTCTATGTTTGAATATATATATATATATATATATATATATATATATATATATATATATATATATATATATATATATATATATAAGAAAATGGACGAACAATTTATTTTTACATTTTTATTTATTTTTAAAAATGTTCATAAATAAAAATGTCTTTAATAAATATATATATATATATATATATTTTAACATTTACATATTTTAAATGTTCAGATTTTTTTCTCATTACGGGGGATAATGTTTATAGCACTAATATACAACTATGGTGGATATAAATGAATTCCATATAAAATTGACAAACAATAGTAAACGGAATTTATAGCCACCATTATTGCGTTTTTAGGGCTATAAGCCCCCTTATGCTTGAGTCCAACACAGACAGCAAAAGGTCTATATATATATATATATATATATATATATATATATAATTATTTATTTAAAATATGATTGCAAATCGCGACATAAGAAGTCCCATGTTTCAAAACAAGAGCCGAAAACTTCAATATAATTATTTAAATTAAATTGAGTTTAAATAAGCTCTGTTCCATCTTCAACCGAAATTTTTTTGGAATAACGAGTTTCTGAAATTTACGTGTTTTAAAAATTGAAATCAAAATTTCCATGGTAACGTCTAGGGTGAATTGTTTAATTTGGGTAGGCGGGTGTTGGGTGTTAATAATAAGTATCAGTATAGAGTTACTTTCGTAGATGTCAAGTCAGGGAAAGGTGGGGGTGTCTAAATTTGAAACGGAAGATGTATTAACCCTCGTCTAGTTTGCATGTCTATGGAGATTTATTTATTTTTTTATTTTATTTTTTTATGAAAGGGATTTGTGCATATAAAAAAACTGTCGTAACGTTTGTTTTTTGACGACTTCATAAAGGGTTATCGTTTTTTAGAGTATTTAAACTATTTATTTGGGATATGGATTATGAAGGGTGTTATATTGTATGCACGTTTTTAGTTAATTATTCAAACCATGAATCTGATGAGTGGGCTATGGATTAAACAAGTTATTATATTGTATGCTAGTTTTTAGCTAATAATTCAAACCAAAAATCTGATGATGCCTACAAAAAACCGTTAACTCGTGTCTATTGCTTAAAAGATTATTATTATTATTTAGAAGCTTAATTATTTGAAATTTGTCATGGAGGCATAAAGGGCAAGGGTCATCCCAAGTTTTACATGTTCTAGCCTTGTTTATAATTTTCCATTTAACTTTAGGTGTCCTATTTGTTTCCTTCAGATGCCAAAAATATTTAGATAGGGAAGTCTGATTTCTTTTGTTTAAATTATTGAAAGAGCACTTATGCTGCCTCCATCTATCTTTAAAATCATTCTTCGTGGACCCAATGTATATCTTATTAGTGCTAGAGCTCTCAGTAGATGATATAGTACATTGGTATACCACAGATTTAATGCAGCATTTATTTTCTAATGGGCAGTCTTCTAGGTTTCTACAGTTACATAATTTTTCCCTTTTATTGTCTGATTTAAGTGCAGGGTTTTTATTAATACTGTTTAGGCATGGGGGTTTGTTCAAGATCTTATTATTGTGTTTTTATATTATACGTTCAAGATTTTCAGAGCAGCTGTAACTCAATTTTAGTGTGTTCTTATTGAATATATTACTAAGCTTACTATTGGTGGGGAAGTGTTTATCAATTAGGGCTAAGAATTTCTGTCCTAGTTTAATACTAACCATTTGGTTGAACGGAGGGGTGTACCAAATGATTTTTCTTTTCCTGTTTTTTTTTCTTATGGCCAGTGCAATTGTCTTTATAGTTAATGTTAGCATTTTTATAACCACTATTTTTTAGGGCAGTGTTATAGAAGCCATTGTGTTGTTGGAATATTTCCTTGTTAGCGGAGTTAATGCTAATTCTATTTTCTATTGATGAGAGTATATGTTTAATTATGGATGGAGGGTGGTTTGATTTCGGGTGTATATATAAAGGGTTAGCATTAGGTTTACTATAAGGTTGGTATGTGTTGCCTGGTAAGTCTAGAGTTACATCGAGGAAGTTAACCCTTTTTAAATTTGAAGAGACAATTATCTTTAAGTTTAGTTTTTTAAATTTCGCGGTGTGCCGTTAAGTTGATATTAAGGACATCGGACTGTATAGAGATGATGGGCTAATAGTGGTGAGGAGTTCTACTAGTTTTAAGATTGAAAAAATCAGAAAAGTTATATTTAGTGAATACTCTACGTCAACCTTATAGAAAACCAAATGCTAACCCTTTATATATACACCCGAAGTCAAACCACCCTCCATCCATAATTAAACATATACCCTCATCAATAGAAAATAGAATTAGCATTAACTCCGCCAACAAGGAAACATTCCAACAACACAATGGCTTCTATAACACTGCCCTAAAAAAATAGTGGTTATAAAAAATGCTAACATTAACTATAGAGACAATTGCACTGGCCATAGGAAAAAAAACAGGAAATGAAAATCATTTAGTACACCCTCCGTTCAACCAAATGGTTAGTATTAAACTAGGACAGAAATTCATTTAGCCCTAATTGATAAACACTTCCCCACCAATAGTAAGCTTAGTAATATATTCAATAAGAACACACTAAAATTGAGTTCATTGCTTGAAAATGAATATATATATATATCAATATATTCTATAAGAAAGGAAAATTACTATTATTATAAATATATATTATATATATATATATATATATATATATATATATATATATATATATATATATATATTTATATATCAAGAAACATACATAATTTTCATTAATTTACAACTCAAGTTTCATGATGAAACAATTTTCAAGTGATGGAATTATTATTTTATCGTTATTAATAATAATATATTTATTAATAATGATTAATAATAATATAATTATTAATTCTAATTTTAAAATATAAATATTAATTATAAATATTAATAATTATTAATAATAACATAATTATTATATTATTTTTATAAATAAAAATTAAAATAATTCCAACACTTGATAATTGCTACGGCATAAAACTCAGAGTTGCGCAATTAATGTAAATAATATATATATATATATATGTGTGTGTGTGTATATATATATATATATATATATATATATATATATATATATATATATATATATATCGTCTGTGCTTGAGTATCTTATATAATGCTCAACAGAATGCTTTATTTCTGTCAAATTAATACTAAATATAAATAGTGGGTTGATGAAGTCTATCAAAACAGGATACAAACTCTAGCAATACGTTGCAGACAACGAGGTGTTTATCACGTGCCGGAAATTGCCATGCATGACCTTTGTGCGCATGTGTGTCATAAGATCGAGTGAGGTCCCGTTGGCCGTAATTACTGAATGCAATCCTTGGGGACAGCCAAACTGAGCATTCTACCGCCTTTTCTTTCCCTTGCTCTCCTACACACACTGACAGGTCAGCATGCAACAAAGAAACAGCATCCCTTAGCCCAGTAAACAGTACAAGTCACTGGGATAGCAGGACACTGCCATCTCGTTTGTCACCAAATCTCTTAATTACATTTTTAACTATTCTCGGTTTCTGTCTAGCAGCGTTCATCTGTTCATGTCACTGTAGCGGCGGGCTTTCTTTGTGATGATCACAAAATCATCCGTGTTGTTGCTCTTGCTTTCAATAATCCTGATGGCCATGATGATAAGGCTTTTTTAGGTTCACTGCTGATGTGATGGTCAGAGTGATAAACTCGCTGGTTCTTATGGATTTCCAGGAAAATGTGAAAGTTTTCAAATTTTCATATTCTTTACCAATCCATAAAGCAAGACACAAAACATGAAGATTTATTTCTTTTTTAGAACTACTCCCAATCAGAGTTCGAACGATAAACTTTAATAAGGCAACGTTTTTATAAAAAAATAAAATAATATATCCTTTCTTTCTTTCTGTCATATACCGTGTTCATCTATGATGTAGATAATCATGGCTTGTCACAATTTCCTATCCATGTTTTCTAAGCAATATTTGTTTCCTTACTCTCCCACCCAGACCCTGTCCTGTCATTTATTTACACAAATTCGTTATGTATTATATGTGATATTGCCTTCTGTGTCTTTTCTCTTCAATGTGTCCTGTGAGTGACAAATTCTCCAAGATCCTTATTATGTTTTTCAAAAATTTCAGCTGTCTTATTCTATGTGCTGTGTTCCTTCAAAACGTTGGCTATCATGGCTCTCTAAAATTTCCTGTTCTCTGTAGCTCTTTATTAATTTTATTTTTTTGTTAGCACTCCTAATTTTTGTTCCGCCATCTTGTTACTCAATCTCGCTAGGTAGGTTATGTATAGCCCTCTTAGCTTTCAAACTGTTCTGTGGGTATCACATTTTCCAAGCCTTCTTTCCTCAATATGTGCCCCCAGAAATTCCAATTGTCCCTTCCTGGTGTTAATTATAAGAATCCTTTTTGTTAACGTTTTCTTTGAAACTTGACAACATGGTCATTCCATGTTATTCTCAGTATCCTTCTGTTGCCACTCTGTTGCATCAAGTCCCTTTTTCATAAATAAGGAAACTGTCCAGCATTCACCGCCATATAGGAGGAATGATATTACAATTCAACAGTCTTTTATTTGTTTCCACTGTAATTTTTCTGAATCTTAATATTGTGTTTAGTTTTTCGAAGGCACATTTCGTTTCGTTTTCTCTGTCACATTTTGCTTTGTCTGTTTAAATAATTCCTGTTTTCTGCTTCTACTTGTTTGATTCTGACATCTGTGATTTGTAGCTTCAATCTTGGGTTATTCTTCATGCTAATGGCTATACATTACTTTTTCTTACTATTCATCCTTTTTACACGTTTTCCTTTACTAACTTTTTTAGGAAGTTTTGTAGTTTTTCTTTTGAGTCAACAATAAACACGGTGTCATCTGCATGTCTTATGTTGTTAAGATTGTGTCCCCCAACAATAAATTCTGAGAGGACAGCTACTTCGTTTTGGATCGCCTTGTTGTAGAGGTTAAATAAATGCCCAGAATAGTCAATAATGGTATTTTCACAGTGTATTTGCAAAATTCTTGTTTTCCATCAGGATGTCTCTAACTTGAATGTTTAATATGCATTTATTGCTTTATTTTAGCAATATCTTGTGATACAATCTCAATCCCATATGTATCAATTTTTTATTACTTAAACGTTATTTTTAGTGGATACTCTTATTTAAGTTGATGCTCCGTTTATTTTTTAAACAGTAAATTTATTTATTTTCGTTTACCGGCCTGAATATTAGAGAAAACTTATTAAAGAAAAAAATATGCGTTCTCCGACAGACACTGAGTGCGTCGACGATCAAGCATGGTTGAATAGTACTTTATAAATGCAAATCTTTCTCAGACTCCCGAAACATTTAGATGTGTTCAGTTTGGTATCCTAACGTAAACAAAACAATTTTTAGATTTAATTACTAAAACATGACTTGTAATGGATACCCATAATTGTTTAGCGTAGTTGAATCGGTCTAAACATGTTGCATCTAACGACGGTTTCTCCTGCTAAGGGAGAATGCGCAGGTTTGAATCTGGAGGCTGCATATTTTTCTTTCAAAAGATTTCTCGAATATTTATGCCGTAGACGAAAATAAATAAATGTACTGTGTAATAAATAAACGGAACATTTATGTAAATATGTGTATCAACTAAAATTAACTGATAAGTAATAAAATTTGTCAGATTAAAAAATAAAAAATCATTTCTTTTGAAATTGCATATGAATGTATACAATTTTCCGATGTGAATATACGAATCTTCGTTAATTTCGAAATGGATACAGTCAAAAGATTATTTAATACTTTTCTGTGATGTCACTTCATTTGATAACTATATCAGACAAATTTGTTGGTTTAGTTGTTGTGTATGTGTTAATGACGGCTGTGGTCGGAAATGAAATGCAGCCATAAAAGGACAAATTGGTTGATAAAGATTAATAAAGAAAGAAACTTTTACATTTTTCCTTACTTCTTTTTATTTGCTTTCTTCTATTTCTTTCTATTTATCTTTTTTTTCTTTTTCTTCTTTTTTTTCTTCCCATTTTTGTTTCTTTCTTTATATTCGGACGAAAAGAGAAAGGGAAAGAAAATGAAAATATTTTTCTCTTTTTCCTTTCTTTCTATTTTTCTTATATTTCATCTTTTCATTATCTACGCTTATTTTATTTTTTCTATTTTCTTTTTTCGTTTTTTTTTTTTGTTTATTCTTTTTCAAATTCTTCCCTATCTTTCCTTTCTTTTCCTTCTTTTCTTTCATTTGTTTTCCATTTTTTATTCCTTTACGTTTCTTATGCCTCTTTTTCTTTCTTATTTCCGTCTTTTATGATTCTTTTTACTTTGTTTCTTTTTTCTTGTTTTGCAATGCAATCTTCCTATCCAAATCTCCTTCATTTTACTTCGGCATCTTCTGACATTACGATGCTAGTAGTGATGACAACTGCACTGAATCCATTTGTAAAGTTCTGAATGTTGGAATGATAAATTTTGATCACTTTAAATACCTCGGACTATGGATCAGTTGAAAAAATAGTATAGGAGAGAAGGAAATTGAACACAGAATAGTTTGGGCGCCGTGTACTTTTACCTACCATCGTAATATGCTTCAAAATTAAATTAGATTTACAGCTCGAATCACATTCTTAAATAGTCTCGTCAGATGTAGACATTCGTATGCATGTCCTACATGACGTCAAACATTCAGAAATGTCCAAACTACTATCTGTATATACCTATAATATATGCCTATAATATACCTATCATATGGACACACCCATTTTCTCCAATCAGTGGTTAAAATGGCGAATAAATTCTATAAATTTAAAAGAAGAGTCTTCATCAGTCTCTATAAATTGGCTCTAATCACTCATACAGAGCTTTATTGAAAGAAATAACGCATCACTTAAAAATTTTCAGCAGTAGCAATAACAAAAATGGTTAGCACATGAAGAGAAAATAATGACTTTAATCCTATAAGTCCTATAAATCCATTGTCAGACTTTATAGTTTGGCGCTATAAAATTACAAATGAAGAACTTTACCAAATAGTAAAATAAAAACATCATTTCCAACAACAGCAATAATAAAAATTGGCAGCACTTGTAATTAGAAGAGAAATTAATGATAAAATCATGTTAAAACAGAAAGTCTGGAAGGAAACTTCGATCGATATTAGAAAGTACTATAACATTTAGTGAACTTGAGAAGACTAATTTCCTGAAAAAAAATTCAATAAATACATTTTATAAATTTCAACCGACAGTAACACTAACTGTTCGGTTAATGAATGCTAAATGTTTCCGGTAAGCAGCAGCTAATTTCAACATTACCGCTACACTTAAGTCAACATTACCGCTACACTTAAGTCAACATTACCGCTACACTTAAGTCAACATTACCGCTACACTTAAGTCAACATTACCGATATTTCTGAATACTGGATTTTATAATTGGCTTAATGATCGATTGACATAAGCATTTTTAATGGTTTCAAGTGAAAAATTTTGCTTGTGTATTTTTGACTTAACTCTCTTGAAATTCGATATTTCGAATTTTTCTAAACTTTGAGAATTTGTTATTTGAATAGGATTCGAAAAGATGCTGACCTTTTACAAGAAAATTATTTTCCAAAATGAAAATAAAAACGTTTTAAATGATTTAATCTGTCATCAAGTTAAACTGAAAAAATGTAAGCAAATTGTATTTATTAATAAATAGTAATAGTCTACACTGACTTCCAAGGCTATAAACTTAAGTGAGCTTTGACGTTTATGTTACAGCCAAGTGTGAAAGAACATTTTTTTTTCGTTTTGCTTGCTTCCACAAACAAAAATTAGGATTTATATTTTTGACAAGCAATTTCTTCTGAGGTGTGAGAAATTTACTTTAGGTCTTCTCCTTTTTTAACTTCGGACAATTAAGTTGGGAATTTTGTGATTGGTTGTTATCTAAATGTTGAAGGAAACTCTGAGAATTAAGAAAAAAATAGAAAGGGAGTATCTTAAACGGGCATGATGAAAAGAGAGAGTTTCCTTGACATTAAGGAAGAGCAGAGTTTTTGAAAGAGAGGAGCGGAAATCGGATCAAATAAAAAGAGGAACAGAATGGATAATTTGGGGGAGAAGAAATGAAAAAAAGGAAAGCAGAGTTAAATATTCTAGTAGCCGTGCCTTCTTCTTTAGACAAAAAAGTGATATGTTGCTGTGGGGCATGAAGGACTGGTCGACAGGCCCAAGTGTCAAGACCGTGCCAAACCTCGTGCTAGTATGATTGATGGACTGCGTAGAATCACACAACGTTGCTGCAACGCTTGCGCGGTGCGAAACTTTGCCTGCCCTTATTTGATCGAGCAGTTAAAACAACACGAAAATCACTTCCCAGCATGCAAAACTGGCCTTTTTTTTAATTGTTACTTTTCTTCTTTTTTTTTTTTTTTTTTCATTTGGGCTCATTTTCTGCAATATCTTCCTCAATTCCAGTCCGTTTTATCCAAATTATCTTTCTCTAACGAAACCTATGATTTTTTGCTAATTTCTTTCAGCTATGTTTCACTCTTTTCTTATGTTTTCAAATATTACACTTTGAGATTTTACTTTACGATGAAGTATCATCAAGAAGTCCGTATCCTGACATTGAATTATTAGTTGAGTATCGATTTGAATGTTTCACTGTATAACGTTCGTTTGATTTATAGTAACTACTAAATTTAGGAGTTTATGTTGAAAAATGAATATTTGTTAAATGAAAATGTCTTCTTTATCGTTAGGGTATGGATTTATTGATATACCTATGTGTAATTGTTGTAACCTAAGCAAGGTTACTGAATAGAATAATCAAACGAAGGTTGGTAATGAACGATAATACTTAGGACAAGAACAACACATATAAGATTCGCCAGTGGTGCGTAGAAGTAGTTAACTGCTAGAAGTGAGTCAAGTGAATTCCACAATGAATCTCCAACTGCAGGATATCTTCCAACCACCCCACGCGGTCAGATGTGGCACAGAGCCGAATTTAATGTGGGGTATCCGAGCCCATAGGCTCAGCCAAAATTTCCAGTAGACCCCGTATAAAACGGGTAACTGTTTCCCGAGACGAGACACTGCCCTTCGACATAGCCTCGTCTGGGGATCCTCTCTACCCGGAGACTCAGAATTTGATCAGCACAGCTGGAGACAAATCTCCGTCAGCAGGATATCTACAAACCGCCCCACGAGGTCAGATGTGGCACAAGGCCGAATTTAATGGGGAGTATCTGAGCCTGTAGGCTCGACCAAAAATTTCCCATAGACCCCGTATAAAACGGAGTAGGGTAGCTGTTAGCCTCGTCTGGGGATCCTCTCCGACTGCAAACCAACATATAGTATTTACTACTTTATTTATATGAATGGAGACATACCCTTTATCGTCCGTAGGTATGTTACAAAAGTAAGACTGATATTTTTTTCATTCTTTCTCCTTTCATTGTTTTTTTTTATTTATTTTTATATTGTTTATTCTTTGTATTCCTAATTCTTTCTTTTATTTTTCTTATTCTTTTTTCTTTCTTTTACATTTTTTTTTATTCCAAATATTCGCCTTCCTTATATTATTTCGCTTTCTTCCTTCTTCTTCTTTGCTCGACTCTCATTCCCAATTTTATTTTATTTTCATATCCCTATTCTTCGTTACGTCTTTTATTCTTTCTCTTGTTTTTCTTTGCCCTTCCTTTCTTTACTACCTTTCATTCATATATTTCAACTTTTTTTCCTTCCTTTTTTGCCCTTCTATTAAACTTTCCTTCCTATATTTTATTATATCTGCTAAATCAAATAATTATCCAATTACACTTTCCAGAGTGATACCTTCTTTCATCCTGGTACTTTTTCATCCACTACTTCCTTCTTAATATATTTAACTCACACGATGCGCACTATTTATCAATTATTATTTTCATCAACACAGAATGTGTATAAAAAATAATTTCAGTATGTTTTCATAATCCTGACAAATTTGAATGGATTCGTGTTATACGCTCATACGTGTGTTTTTTCATGCACTTTTCATTTTAATCGATGAGGGAAAAGGGAGAAGTGTTTCAGTTACGACATACTGGCAACGAACCAAAGCAAAGAACCAGCCTTTTTCAGAATTGAATAAACTAGATCCCTAGAAAACTTTCAAGTTTATAGCATTTTGCGATCAACGGAAATAAAAACGTAATATTATTTTGAGAATGCTATCAATATACCAAACTTGAATCCTAACCTGGCATCTCGGCTGTAGTCAGTTTCTCACTATTGTGACATGGTTTCTGTCTGTCTTTTCTACAAATATTTTCATGGCAGTTGTTCTGATGAGCTTTCCTCCTTGGTGATCGACTGTATAAATTTAAGCTTATAACTAGATTGGGCGAATAGGTTTCACCGCATTACAGTCAAACTTGCTAGATGCAAACGTATGTCCTATTGTAATAATTTATTTGTTTGTCTGTGGAACTCCAGTCCAGGTGCTTGTTTCCTTTTCACCTAAAGTCTTCAAAAATATCGATGCAAGGCCAATCACCATCTTCGGTTCTTTTATTGTCCTTTCTCCTCACAAATATCTTCTCATTCTCTTTCCCTCCATGTAACCCCTTCTGTTCTAGTTGCATTATCGGCTTGCTTGGTATGAAATTATTAAAAATAAAGTACCCTAAGATGTGGTACGCTAAGCGAATTTGTTAACTAACGGTGAAATGTAATATTTCTTTCTGACTTAAACGAACTTAAATATGCACAACGTAAAAGAAGTCAAAACTATCTAGTTTCAATCGAATGAGCAGAGATCAGTTCAGTTTTTGCTGGCTTTAATACTTCATTCTCTGTTCCTAATTAAGATTAGATATTAATTATTAAATATCAGGATGATGGAGAAATAATGGAAATGGCTGATGCCAAATAAACATTGGCCGAATTATTTCTTTCCAAAATTATGGTGACGTCGTAGATTGAAAGCTCTCGATCACTAGCATACGGCCAGTATCTAGACGCATTAAAAGCAAAGATATCCTCTGTCAGACTTAAACAAGAAATTGCAATTAAAATACAAGTAAAATAAAAATAAATAAAAAAGTATCGTTAACGTTCACTTTCAACAATCGCCTCCCTCTCTCTCTCTCCCGCTCTTTTCATTTTTGGTCAATGTAATTAATACTGGTCAATTAAAAAAAAAGAGTATTTACTGAAATAAATAATATCTATAAAAATAACGTATAAACAGAAAATATATCAAATAATTGTCGGACTTCATCCATTTCAGGATATGTTGTCAGGTTTTCATTAAGATACGTTTTGTGAACAGAAATGATCGATCGAGAAAAATCAACGAAGATTGTGTATTTATAAACAGTAATTCTGACTTTGCTAAGCAGTCGCTTCTCTGTCGCTAAATGGCATAGCACGTCAGATCAAAGGACAGTTTCCGTATAGGAATAGAGGTTCGATTTCTGTTGGAGAACGCATTTATAATACACAATACGAAATTTCTCCAATATTTAGGCTGGTAAATGTAATTAATATTGTTTAATTAAAAAACAAATCATTTACATAAAATAAATTGTATTTATAAAAATAATTAATCCATTTCATAAAATATATAGATATGTGTGTGTGCGTGCGTGTGTATATGTATGTGTGTGTGTGTATTTGTAGAATGTATATTATCCGTTAACAAAAGTGAGAATAATAAAGCAAAGTGGAAAAGCTACAACCGACGTGTTTTGCAGAGAGCGTCTTCATCCTTTTATTTTTTCAGGCTAAAATGAAAGAAACAGAAAACTGTATGTCAAGATAAATATTTGTATCTCTGAATATATATATATATATATATATATATATATATATATATATATATATATATATATATATATATATATATTATAATTGTTTGGTGTCTGTTGCATTTAAATCAGTCCACAGAAAGTAGAGTGGTTTTAATGTATATACTGGTGCATATACACAACCATTCACCCAGCTATATTTATATTAGAGCCTTTTTTTATTAAAGTATATTTGTACACATATATATACCTGTGCACGCACGCAGCACGCACACACACATATTAGACCCAATGCTGGGTTTGTTTGCTTGTTTATATATATATATATATATATATATATATATATATATATATATATATATATATATATATATATATATTTATAAAGGAAAAACTTTAACGTATCAGGAAAAACTCGAATATAAATTATAATTTATTTCGACGAATAATTTTTTAATACTTGTCTCATCAGACCGAAATTACAAATAGTTTAATTTTACAAAAAGGTTTAAATTTATCCAGACAATTTTTAAAGAAACAAAAACAAAAACAAATAAAAACAGTTAGCTGGAAGTCTAGACACATGACCTAAAAAAATCTATTTTCTGGGGATTTATATTATTGAAGACATGGGTGTAGGCGGAGAAGCAGCTGTGAACCCCATGTTCATGTGTGGTGCTTGCGAGAATACGAGTAACACCTAGAGAAATGCATTAGAATAAACCATATATATATATATATATATATATATATATATATATATATATATATATATATTAAATTTAATATCGAATTCATCATCAAAACTATAGAATCCAACTGGCTAGTATTTTTATATTTAATTATTCTATTTTTTCCCTCTAGGCACAAGTTACATCTATTTGTAAAGCTGTTGGGGTTTGGGATTTACCCATTAGAGATAAATCCTAAAATTCCATTATAGGTAAATCGATCAGATTCGGATAGGTATTTGATGGTGGCCATTCCATTATTTTATATCCTGGAAAACTTTAACAATGAAAAACTTCACGGGTGAGTCCCTAGATATATGAGAAGAAGCATTGTTGTGCATATATACACTTCACTTTATTTTGACACTGCTAGGCTGGAACTTGGACTATTTAAAAGAAATTTTGTCTATGAAATTGCAAAAGTTAGCACTATTCAGTTTAACTCCATCGATTTTGAATGGTCCAATAATTCCAGCCCATATCATCACACTGTGGCCACTTCGATATCTTCTTTTATCCACGAGCACATCTGCATCGGATAAAATTTATCCTTTGGCCCATCAATCAGGTCCATCAAGTGTGATCTGGGGTTCATCTGTGATAATTACTTTGGAAAAGCTTGTTTTATTGTATTTCTTGGCCCAAATTTGTGATTTTTTCCCCATAATTTGCTTTAGTTTACTTTCTTCTCGAGGAGGAAAGTTCTTAAAATCGTTTTCTTTCCTTCTAATTCTAAATTAAGTTATATTTTCAACAGCTTTCTTTATCGTTTGAGGATCTTTGCAAAGCACCGTTGATATTTCCAATATGGACATTCACTCAATAACTTTGTTACTTTCTGTTTTTCAGCATATATTAAAACCCTCGCATTACCAATTTTTAAGCATATACTATGAAAAAAATTTGTAAAATAGTTTTTATTAGATTTCAGAGGATTTAAACTAATACGAGTTTAATCTAGATAATAGCTTCAAACTGTAGTTTTTATAATAAATCCAATAATTTTAATAACACATGTTGAGACTACCTAAAAATTTAACCCAAGCTTTGATTTGACGTCTACATTAATCGTTTAAACTTTGAAAATATGTTCAAAGCAAATTTTAGTTATTAAGGTTTATATAATTTGCTTAATAACTTCAGACTGTCTAGCCGATTTCATTTAGCTTCTTTTAAAGAAACAAAGAGAAATAAAAAAAATGAAATCGGCTAGACCCCAAACACATATTTAAATAAATTGTATAATTGGTACACGCACACACACACACACGCGCGCGCACACATACACTTATATATATGTTGGATAATTGATGCACAAAACAAACAGACACAGACACACACTATATATATATATATATATATATATATATATATATATATATATATATATATATATATATATATATTTAAAAAGCAAGGAAAATATTCATCTCTCAGTCCTTTTCATTCAACATCTCATCAGAAGTAAATCGTTGGCAATAAATTATACGAAAGAATACTAACAACGAAAATGAAGAGCAAAAAAAAGAGGGGAAACACTGTAAGATATATATATATATATATATATATATATATATATATATATATATATATATATATATAATGCTGTTAGGTTTTATGGCTACTACGATACTATGAAGAGAATATGTGTACCGTCAAAATATTACAGCGTAATTACCAATTTTTGCATTGTGCTTATAAAATATCAAAACCCTTATGTTTTCCATGTATTTTTTCCTTTCCTTAATAATTCCTAAATATTAAACTAAACAAATATTTTGTTAACCATTGAACAATTATAGAGATTAACAGTCGTTGCAGCAAACGGGATGTCTATAGGTTCAAGATGGTGGCATCAGTCGTATTGGAAATTTGTATAAAAGAAATGAAAGAGAAAAAGAAAGAAACGAAGTAAAAGAAAGTAAGATACCAGTAAAACCACAGAAAAAGTCAAAGATATTATTTGAAATTTTTGTAGATGTGGGAATAAAAGAAGAAAGTAAATGACTTTAATTAAAATGACGTTTTTAGGTTTTACAAAATTTTCGTTGGTTAAAAGCAAGTTACCCAAAAACTTTCTCTTTGTTATAGAAACACGATGTATGCAATCAGCCGCCGTCTGTATTATATTAATAAAGGAATCTCTCATTATCACAAATGCAGGAAATTAGGAGCTTGACCGATAAATATGTAAACTGTTATATTATAGAATTAAAGTAAAGTTATTCTCTGTTCTATCGCCTATTTTTTTCCTTTTTTATTATTTTCTAATTTTATTTTCTATTTTCATTTTAAAATTTCACTCCATCTCTCTCTCTCTCTCTTTCATTCTTTCTCTCTCTTTCATTCTCTCTCTCTCTTTCATTCTTTCTCTCTCTTTCTTTATCGTTTCGCCTTTTTTGTAACCTTTATCGTTTTTCTTTTTCGACTATTTTCAATTTTCTACACTTGCCTCCTCTTTTATCTATCTATCTATCTATCTATCTATCTATCTATCTATTTTTTTGTTTTTATTCATTTTTTCGCAATCTCGTTTTCTGTCTTATTTTCCGCAATATTTTTTCTTTTTCTTTCAAACCTTCTTCTTTTTTCTTTATTTTCTCTCTTTTTAAGTTCATCTGTTCTCATTTAATTACATAAATTAATAAAAAAGACAAATTCATGTAATCCTAGGTATGACGATAGACTGCGTCCGGCAGCAAGGCCACTGATCGATCGATTGGATATTTGTGAAACCTCCTCTTAACTGCTGTTGTTCCAGGTTCACACTGGCCCGGGTGGTAGCAACTGTTAGGGTCCCAGCTATGGGCAAATAGTGAACCCCCTAAACACTATAAATATATAAAAAAAATATATATTTTTATAGTAAAAAATATCAGCAATACATTATTATATATAAAAATTACCAACGACACTTATATAGAGAATTACAACAATAGATTTTATAGCAAAATGACCAATACTTTTTGTCTGTAGTTGAAAGCTTTTCTAAATATTTACATTCCATCTTTAAATAACCAATAGAAGGTGATATGCCGCTAAACAAAATGAAACTAAACCATGTGGTTTGGAGAAAATGCCGACTACATTCAATTGGCATATACTGTTTCTTCTTTTTTTTTTTAAATTACTGAAGTCTAAACGCTGTTATACTTTTATTAAGCATACACGCTATGTACAGATAGGTTAACTGTTATGGCACGGAACACCGAATCGGCAAACCGGGTTTAAATTCGTGCTATATTGATTACGTTCATCCTCACACAAATGCTATACAGATGAAGAGGAGACATGAGGCAACAGAAACATGTTTCTACAGAAGAATGATGAAAATATCATTAAAGAAAATAGAAATAAAAAATATACATATATATATATATATATATATATATATATATATAATCGGAAAGCGACAACTGAAATTTATGAGGTAATAAGGACAAAATAAGACTTGGAAAAATTGATACATTGAAAGTATGAAGAAGAGAATGAAATAGAAAATTACGAGCTTGGGTAAATGGATGACACAACAGAGGCTGGGGTAAAGGGACAAAATTGCTTACAGATACGAGGGACAGAACGTTTGGAAGCCATGATTACCTCCCTCCTGAGGGATCATGTTAAATGAAACGCAGGAGTGTCAGGAAATTCAGTTGTTGATATAAATGCCAAATGATGCCGTAACTGAAGGAATCATTTGTAAGTTGTCATCTAAAACAATTCTTTGTAAGAACATATGATTAAACCTGAGGCTTTTAAAAGCCAGTCCACTACAGGCAATTTTCGGCATATCAAGCATGGGTAGGTAGGGTTCAATCCAGGATTTAAAAAAAATTCCTTCACTAGTAAGATCGGTGAAACATTATTTTTTGCTTCTTTTTGCGTGTAATGAAGTGGTAGTACCGTTATTAAAATGATAGCACATGCGGACAAATGAACGATATAGGCGGACCTTACATTATGTCTACGATGTGTGAGAGACTACCAAAATCCTACATGTAGTAGTTCTCTCTATATATATACATATATCTTATGCATGTCGTTCCAGCGCTTAAAAAATCGGATGATTCTTCATTCGGTGGGGTCGATATATATACTGCTGCACCTGACTTCTTTGATGGTCTAGTGTGACATTGAGTGCAATTTCTATTCCAGTATACTCTCTCTCTCCCCATATTTGTATTTACGTTCACATTAAATTTTGATTATTTTTTTCATATTTACAAAAGGTTAACAAATACATCATTTAATAAATAATTCAATAAATTTTAGTTGCACCTCTCCATTCACTAATAATCGGCACAGACATTTAGGCATGCACAGACACAGTCATATACCATTATAAATACATACATGCAGGTACACACACATTTAACATAATGGCCGGGTATTTCTTGTTTCCGTCTTCCCATTACAGACGCCTGCTCAACTCATAGTTTATTTTGCAACTATGCTGAACGGACGTTAGTTACAGTTTCTGGGGGAGGGCACATAATCTGGTGTGATTAATTTATTGAACAAAATCAGTACGGTCACGCTCAGTCACGGTGACTTGCGATTTCGTGCCATCGACGTCTTCTAAACAGTTTCTACCCAATTTCACTCACAAGGCTTGGTATGGTTTTCAGGCACTTTCCAAAGGTGTCAATAACATCAAGAAGTCACCTTACAAATCGACCATGCTGAGACTCGAACCCGGGTATCTTGGTCGAATGTTCTAACCGCTCGACCATGCATATTTAATTACATGTAACATACATAAGCTGATACATCAAGAAACACATATTCATCTCTCACATATACTCACAGGTATATAGACATAGACGCATATACTTGTAACTACGCACACATTCATCATACAAAACACGTATATAGATGTACATACACATGCACACATATGCGCACACCTACATCCCTCAAACAGAAAGACATATACATGCAGACACCTATATTTGTACACATTTTCATCTATCACACAGAAACATATGCATACGTACATATAGGCACACATATAAATGCGCATACATTTATCCGTCGCACCTAAACATATCCATATGCGCATATATATATATATATATATATATATATATATATATATATATATATATATATATATGTATATATATACTGACATTTGTATTAATGATTGGGAATATGCGTTTTTCTTTTTTTTTTTTGTCAGACAATTGCTTCCACATTTGCCTGGAAGCCATGAACCGTGCAAATCACCTGCCCAGACGAAGCAGTGTCATGCCCCAAACTTTCAATGTTTTTATACTTCTTGTATATTTAGTTTGACTCTAAACAATACATTATGACTGCCCAGAACTCATTTGACAAGTGATAAGCAGTTTTAACGAAATCCTTTTTAAAATTAAGCCTTACCATTCCATATAAAACTTCCATTGCTAAAGCTTCCGGAAAAATGGTTTCTTCTGCCATGCTTTGTGTTTACAATAATGTCAGATTAGCCAATGGCTCCCCACCTTTTTTTCTCTGGGCCGCATTTTCGGAATGACAATTTGCTCGCGCCTCACCAAATTTTATTTGATAAAAGCAACATTTAAAACTAAAATAAAATAAAATAAACAGAGGGAGAGTTATAGGGAGAAAACCACGGATTCGCAGTCAGAACATTATCATTGATAACTCTCTCCTCCAACTTACGGACCCTAATTAGTATATTCTTAATACTTGATCTAATGCATAAATAAAAAAGTTAAAAAAATATCACACTGATAAAATCGTTCAGTAATTATTTATAACTATTTATATTGGGATTCATTCATACAATTACAAGTAATCCGTAATAATATTCTAAATTTTGAAATCATATTTTTGGCATATGAATTTTTTAAAACTGTTTCTAAATTTTTGATTGTCTTTCAGTTATTCCGCCTCACCTGCTATCTTCTTCTGCCGCACCTATGAAGCACACCGCACCGTTTGGGAAACACTGTATTAGAATACAAATCGAGTTGTGCTGCCATATCAATTCTAATTTGATTGTGCCCAAAATCATTTACACTGTTTTCTCGCTGGGGAAATCATATTCTTCACTCTGTAGCCACTTTCTCACAGGTACAAAATTGCAAGCCTCTCGCTCCTTTATCTCCGTTTCCATGACTAATGTTCCATTGAGCTCCAATTTTTAGTTCCACTAGCTCAGACATTTACAACTAAGACACGTCATGTCACTTCACCTTCACTCCACCCGTATTCTAAATAAAATTCAACATAGAAAGCTCGGTTACTTTTGAAATAGTCTCTCACATGAATGTTTCCTTAAATACTAAAATCTTAAACTGTTCAAGTCAATCGTTATCTATCGTCTAAGACTATATCTTTATCTCATATACCGTACACATACTTCATCATAAGCATTTTGACAAAACCCATCTAGCTTGAGTGGCTTTCGTGTCTTGGAAGAAATTTATTAAAATATACATTAATGAAAGATAAATACATTTTTAATGCGTGTTTTTTCATCTGAATCGTTGTCGGCTTTATCTCGTATCCAAGAATAGAATTTCTTCTTTGTTGATCGCATCCTTTATGATGATGGCGTTGATGAGTAAATTTGCCGTCATCGTGCAGCTTCAGCGCTAGAATCTTCCAGTTCCACCATGAACTGCTCTCGTTATCCATTCCCTATCATCGTTTGGCGTTTCAACATTGATTTGATTGGAGATGAAAGAAAATCAGAGTAGAAGAAAGTGTCGATGGCGTGAATTTGTTTAAGTTGGACTTCAACATGCCAGTAAGTGACTCACACACTTGATTTCATGACCTTCCTCTGTGGCACATAGGGAATGTGACATTCCGAATCCATTTATAAAACTAAAATGAACTGTCGCTGACTCTGTTATAATTTCAAAGATGCCACTCGCCTGGATAGCATTGAAATAAAATGAAAAATGTTCAGATGATTATAGAAATTATGTTTACTAGGTGTAACTTCGTTCAACACAAATAGTACAAGCTGTCAACAAATCAATGAAAATCAAACCCATTACAGCAGACATAATCTGCTAAAATAGCCCCTGGCGATGGTGTTAATATTTTCACAAAGCATTACATATTTCACTCCAGTTTGCAGTAGGAAACCATTTTGTTGAAGATCATATTTTCATGTGTTAGAGGGAAATATATCGATCTATGTGACATGTTTTAGTGCAGATATTATGGTCAAACGAGTCTTTGCGAGATGAGCTATTATAGTGGTAGCATTGGGTTGTATGCGACACGTAGTTCACTGGGGACAAAGAAGGTACTCAGAGAGGAAACGACACGCGTCTTGTCCCTGCAATATTCTGCGGGTGAAGAGAGTATAAAGAGCGATAGAGACAAAGTGCATCCTTTTCTCTATATACAGCTTCATACAGCACCACCTAGCGGGCCTTATTAGTTCCCGGACGAACAAGGTGAGGCAATTCCGCATATCCCAAATTAGATTTAAAGTGGTGAAGGTCTGAATATCTACACTCCCTGACGTTGGTCGGTAATACGAAACTATTTTACAAGGAGACATGACATTCAAACGGTGAATATTATGCTTAAAACAATACCAAATGAAAAAAGATTAGTATAGTAATATTGAGTTCTTCCAAGATTCTAAGTTGAGCGGACTTG